CAAGGCACACAAAGCAATAGAGTGATCTACATCATTGCTCATATTTGAAATTATTCGGGCAGCTCTGTTTTGGAGCTTTTGTAGTCGTTTTGATTGTATTTCACCCAATACATCCCAAACTTCTGAACGGTAGTCGAAGTAGGGACGTACGATGGCATTGTATATGGAGGTGAGCGTATCTCTTTCAGCAATAAATGGTTTGACACGACGTAGAGCTGAGATTCCTGATGTTATTTTTTTGCAAATATTTTCAGTATTGGGTTTCCAAGATAAATGCTGATCAATAATTATTCCTAGAGTTTTGGCTTTGTTTACTTGTTGGATTTGTTTGTTTTCAATTAGGATATTTGGTTGAGCATTAGAGGCATTCCTTATCATTTGTGGAGACCCAATCAACATAAATTCAGTTTTAGCTGCATTCAAGCTAAGTTGATTGGCTATTAACCAGTTTTTGAGGTTTTTCAGATCAGAATTTGCTGCAGTCTCAATATCAGCTATGGTGTGACTAGTGGCTGTGATGTTTGTGTCATCAGCGAATAACCGAGGTCTTGTATTTTTTAGACACTCGGGTAAGTCGTTGATATACAACAAGAACAGTAATGGCCCCAAAATAGAACCTTGTGGTACACCACATTTAATCAAATGTTCTGATGAAATAAAATTGTCTATTTGACACTTTTGGTGGCGGTTTGAAAGATATGATTTTAATAAGTCATGGGCTTGACCTGTTATTCCATAAAATTCCAGCTTTTTCAGTAAAATGTCATGGTTGACAGTATCAAATGCTTTTTTTTAGGTCTATAAAAACTACGAAGTTAAACATTTTCTTATCTATATTCACATACCACTCGTTTGTACAATCTAAAAGAGCTGTTGCTGTAGAATGAGATTTTCGGAAACCAAATTGATTATTACTGAGTAGTCTAAATTCAGTTAAATAATCATAAAGTTGATTGTATAAAATTCGCTCCATTATTTTGCTTACAGTTGGTAGAATTGAAATGGGTCTATAATTGCCAGGAATATTTCGATGGCCATTTTTGTAGAGAGGTATTAATCTTGCCATTTTCCAGTCATCAGGAAAGGAGGATAAAGTAATAGCTTGATTAAAAATATATGTAAGTGAATCTGCAATGGCAGGTGCAGCTATTTTAATAATTTTACACGATATTTTGGCAATGCCAGTTGCTTTGTTGCTAGATAATGCGCTGAGCAACTGGTAGACATTATTAACATTTGTAGGTTGGAATGCAGCAAATTCTGATTTAGCCTTTTTGATATACGACTCAAAATTGCAATTTGTTGTGTGAATTTGGCTCGCTAGATCTGGCCAATATTTGAAATATATCTGTTAAAGCACTCTGCAATATCTTTTGGATTGTTTAGAACATTCTCTCCTAATTTGAGTTCATTTACTTTTGAATGTTTGTTTTGTTTGCCAAACAAATTATTAATTGACTTCCATGCTTCCTTTGGGTTAGATTTTTATTATTATTATTATTATTATTATTATTATTATTATTATTATTATTATTATTATTATTATTATTATTATTATTATTATACAAAAAAACCGATTTGCACCTACAAAGCTGAATTGCTCGGTTTACATTAATGTTCTAAAAATACAGTTTATAAAATTACAAGTTAAAGACTAATAATTAAGATATGATTATATATTATGTAGTTTATTAAGACGTATAGGTATTAAAAGATACTACACTACTTGGTATATAACTATTTTTAAAACGGTTGGTACAAGACCAAATGTGTGTAAAATTGTCGTTATTTCTAAGATTGTTAGTACGTTTGTCAGGGAGAAGATCGTACAATTTATGACTTGGTTTTGTCATTCTTTTTTATTAAAGTGTGATCTGCAAAGTTCATCTCGTCTTTGTGAAAGACTTGGAAGCGGAATAACCTCCAAGGCATTCCTGTAAGATAGGTCAGGATAAATTATTCTTAGTGCTCGCTTTTGGACCCGCTCGACGTCATCAGAAAGGTATTGGGAAGCACCAAAGTTCCATAATTGGCAACCGTATTCGAGGACTGATCTTATGCAGGTAGTATAGACGGTTAAAAGTTATGTATGATCAGCAAGTTTTGAGGAATAATAATTCTTTTTGGCATCTCTTAGTTCAATGTTGACTTGATTTCTAACTTTTTTGTAGTTTGACCAATCAGTCTCTAACTTTGTGATAATTGCTTTTCTTTTCAGTTTGTCTCTTGTATTTATGAGACCCTTAATGTTGTTCGTTATCCAAGCCACTTTACTAGACTTAGTTTTTCTGTGTTGTAATGGAGCATGTTTGTTCAGAACTTCTAGAAAAAGTTCTTTCCATAATTCCCACATGGCATTTGGATTTTTACCGAAAAAGTAAATGTATTCCCAATGTTGATTAAGAAGCTCATCCATAAAATTCTTTTCATTGAAGCTTTTCATATTTCTAATTTCAACAAAATCATTAGCTTTATGAAAAACTCCAATTTTTCTGATTGCATAGACTAAACTGTGATCACTTATTCCAGTGTGTACAACACCAGAGTGTGAAATTTTGTCAGGTGTATTCGTAACTACATGGTCAATAAGGCTAGATGACCTCATAGTAACTCGAGTTGGTTCATTTATCAACTGGGATAGTTGGTATAATTTGTATATTGAATATAGTTTATTTGTTGGCATACTGAAAAGATTTTCTTCCTCTGACAAATTGCAATTTAGGTCACCTAAAATGTACATTTCTTTATTCTCATCATCAATTTGTTTAATAAGTTTTTCCAAATGGTCAAAAAATTCAGCAGTTGCATTTGGCGGTCTGTAAATTGTAGTGACAATAAATGGTTTACTTTGTGGTTTAGTAATTTCTAAACAAACGGCCTCCAATTCAGGGGTAACGAGATCTGACCTTATTTTATAGTTGATGGAGCTACGAAGGTATATACAAACTCCGCCTCCATTGCGGGAACGATCTTTTCTAACAACCTCATAACCATCTAAATGAATGAGGCCATCAGAAATACTCAGGTCTAGTCGTGTCTCGTTGAATGCAATTAAATCAATGTTTTTGCTACACATTGAATGACGAATTTCATCTATTTTACCGGGTAAACTAACAATATTTAAAAAGGCCATCTTAAAACCTCTTTCATTGGGAATGGAATTAAGAGTCGCTGAAAAATTGCTACTCACATTTTTGTTTGAGAAATTATTAGTATCTAATTTCTTAGTATTCGGTTTGCATGCTTGTGGTGCATTGACCAGTCTTTTCTCAGATGTCCATAACCCTTCCATAAAAAATGTTCATTGTTAATTCTACTAGGTGAATTCAGACTCTGTTTCGGTTTAAGAAAAGTGCAGAAAGCACTTCCCAAAGCTCTGTCGCCATTCTTATTTAAATGTAGGTTAGATCTGTTTAGCATAGATTTGACAATGCATTCATTATCTATGTATGCAATTTTATGCTTGATGCATAATTTGTGCAATAAGTTGTTGTATGAATTGATATTATTAGGTTTAACTTTGTTGTCATACCTTTTTATAATGCCTGATACAGCAACTTCTTTGGCTTTGGTTTTCACCTTCGTTATCAAGGCTTCCATATTTTTGATAACTCTGTCAGGTTGGGTACGTGCGAGATCATTGGTTCCGACATGGATGATGACTCTTCCATAACTGCTCTCCTCTTTCACACGTTCATCAAACTTCGCAGCAATCTGCTCGACAGTTGCCCCACTGTATGAATGGCACACGGTTCTTTTCTTTGCTGCTCTTGTCAGCTTCATATTGTCAATGTTCTTGACCATGGAGTCACCAATGACCAAGTCAATGCTCTCCTTGGATGACTCGTGGGTTGGCGTCCTTTCCTCTTCTTTTGCAGGTGAATCCATCTTTGGCTTTTCCTTGGCCACTTTCGGTTTTTTGGCATCTCTAGATTTCACGAACTTCTCCTGTTGTTTAGCACGGTAGTTAGATATTTGTGCGTTAACATCACTGTTTATCTGATTCCCATCACTTGCTTCCTCTTCATTCTCGTCATCGAGTGCTTCAAATCTGTTCTGACTTTGAGTTATGTTGTTATTAGCAGACTCGGTTACTTTTTTATCTGTAGATTTACTATGTTCCATCTTATCAACAGCGTTGTCATTTGATGTTTCTTCAACATTGATTTTTAACGCCTGTATTTCCGCCGCCATTTTATTATTGTCCTCGATAAGGGATTTTAACTTCGCGTCGGTTTTCGCCATTTCAGATTCGCTATTTCCCCTGTCCTCGTCTTGTTTCTTTTTCATTTCGTTTACTATAATTAGTAGATTGTTTAGTTCTTCCCTATAGTGTTCGCAATTACTGCAATTCTCATCTACAATTATGGTGCTTTGATTGCTTTCCGCGCCTTCGTCTTCAACAACAACAACACGCGGCGCCACGTGTTCGACTTCATTATTTTGGCAATCGTCGTTTTCTGGCATCGGTAGGGTGGCATAGCTCTTCAGAGAGATGAATAAATGGCTTTCGTCGTTGTCTTGCATCACTGATAGCTTTTTCTCTGTTGAACCATGCCATTTTAAGCAGAAATCGGGATTGCTAAATTGAATTGATTCACCGCATGCTCGAGCCGACGACCATCTTCCATCGATCTGTAAATCGGCTTTCACAAACTCCTTCAATGACTCTAAGTCACCTTTCCAAAATAAATCGTCTTCCAAGATGTATAAGAAAGACGATTTTAACTTATTTTCAGTTGAACCATCATTTTCTTGTCGCGAATTTTTACAAATTCCGGAGCTCTGATTTTTTTGTCCGGTCGAAAGAAAGAAAGATGGTGAGATCAGGCTATGCATTCATATGCGCATGGCTAATCAAGCAATTCAACGCGAAAGACATCCGACCCCAACTGTGGATGATTTAATTCACAAATTAAACGGCGCCACCATATTTACAAAGCTTGATCTTCGCTCGGGATACCACCAGTTATCTCTCGCTGATGAAAGTTGAATTTTGGCACCAATTCGGCAAGTGAAATCTTCCAACATGTAATTAGCGAACAAATCCGTGACATTCCGAATGCCATCAACATTAGTGATGACATAATTATCTTTGGCATAACACAAGCTGAGCATGACAAAGCTCTTCATGAAATTTTTGAGCGGTTTTCACTCATTGGATTAACCTTCAACAAAGACAAATGTGAGTTCAGTCAATCGCAGCTCACATTTTTTGGTTTTGTCTTCTCAGGTGATGGCATTTCACCGGATCCAGCGAAGGTTTCAGCGATTCACAACTGCCCACCTCCAAATTCAATTAAAGCTGTTCGGAGTTTCCTTGGGATGGTGACATATTGTGCGAAATTTATCCCTAATTTCAGTGATCTCACAGAGCCTTTGCGAGAATTAACGAGAAAAAATGTGCCTTTTTGCTGGACATCTAGGCATGCTAAATCTTTCAACGCAGTAAAAGCTGCCCTCACAAGTGCAACAGTTATGGCATATTTTGATCAAACCAAGGAAACAGAACTTATCACTGATGCATCACCTTTTGGTCTCTCAGCTATTCTGACACAGAAAGTCCCAGGATCAGACCAATGAAATGTTGCATATATCAGTCTTTCGCTGTCGGATGTTGAGAGACGATACTGTCAAACAGAGCGAGAAGCTCTTGCACTTGTGTGGGCAATTGAACGTTTACATATCTATCTATACGGAGGACATTTTACTCTGATAACTTATTGCAAACCAGTCGAGTTGATTTTAAATAATCCACAATCAAGACCTCCAGCCAGAATTGAGAGATGGAATTTACGCTTGCAAGATTATGACTTTAATGTAAGGTATACAAAGGGACTTGACAATCCATTAGATTTCCTATCTCGACATTTACCTGTTAACAACACCACTGATGACAGACAGTTCCAAACAATGGCTGACAGTTATGTTTGTTTCCTTACCCAACATGCTGTGCCAAGAGCAATGACTCTGCCTGAAATACAACAAGCCACCGTGGCTGATTCAACATTACAGATCCTAAGCAACCTCATCACAACTGGTAAATGGCATTTAATAGACTCTCTAGACGTACAATCCAATCCCAATTTAAAGGTTTTGGACTTGAAAGCATGTGAGAAAATTAAAACAGAACTTACACTAAACGAGCATGATGGAATTATATTACGAGGCTCGCGAATTGTGCTTCCAGAAAGCCTTAGACCAAAGGCTGTTCAAATTGCTCATGAAGGCCACCAAGGGCTAGTAAAAACTAAACAGTTGTTGCGAGAAAAGGTTTGGTATCCAGGTATAGACAAGCTTGCTAAGCACACAGTGGATACTTGTTTGTTATGTCAGGCAAATGGACCAAACAGTCACCAAGAACCACTGCGAATGACGACGCTGCCTCCCCAATCCTGGCATACAGTGAACATTGATTTTTGTGGACCATTTCTAGGTGGTTCATATCTGTTAGTGATTATTGATGCATATTCACGATTTCCGGAGGTGGAAATTGTAAGTTCAACATCTGCAAAATCAACAATATTGAAACTTGAACGAATTTTTGCCACACATGGTATTCCAAAGGTGTTAAAGAGTGATAACGATCCACCATTCCAGAGCCATGAATTTAGTCTGTACTTGAAAGAACTCGGCATTAAACATAAACCAAGCTCACCATCATGGCCCCAAGGAAATGGACAAGCCGAGAACTTTATGAAACCACTTGTAAAGGCTGTGAAATCTGCCCATCATGAAAACAAAGATTGGAAACGTGAAATGTTTAAATTTTTGCTCAACTACAGAGCTACCCCACATTCCACCACTGGCAAGTCACCGTCCGAGTTGCTATACAACCGTAAGATTAAACCAAAATTACCTCAAGTGACAGTCGAAAATGATTCTTCACTTCATCAAGAGGTGAAGGAGAGAGATGAAAGGTTGAAAAAGAACCAAAAAGAATATGCTGATTCCAAAAGAAGAGTTAAGTGTGCTGACATCAAGAAAAGTGATTTAGTTTTGGTGCGGCAACCGAAATCAAATAAAATGTCCACAAAATACGATCCAATACCATATGAAGTCACAAATCGCCGTGGGAACAGGATCACAACAATTAGGAATGGGAAATATATAACTCGGAACATTTCGTTCTTTAAAAAGTACCACCCCAGACATGGCAGATCGTTGGAGTCAACAGAGATAATGGATGAAGAAAATTATCCTCAGATGAAGATGTCCACGAAGAGCATGAACAGTATGATGGACTGAGACAGAATGATGGACTGAGACAGAATGATCGTCCGCGGCAGCACAATGGTCAGAGACAAGATGATGGTCCGAGATATCCGGCAAGAGAAAGACAGCGGGTGTACTGATATGGAAATAACATTTATGATTGACCTGGACTAAAACAGATAAGATACAGTTTAAACATTATATGCATATTTTGTTAGAGTTAGTACTAGAGTTCATATTTAAATCAAGGGAGGGATGCAATGTTGATATTATTGACACTAGCACACACGTGACTAGAAAGTTAGTTAAGTATTTTTAGAAGCACGAGGCTAGGGAACCGGGAAGTAATTGAATACGTACTTTGCTGTTTGTACAAGTTGTTTGATATCTATATCAATTCTGATGGGAAAAAAATCGTCCACAAGTTGTTTGATTGCCCGTCATGCATTTGGATAAAAAGTCACGTGATTGCAAACAAAAAATATCTGTGATAGCAATGGTTTTACATTGAAGGAATCGCCCTGTTTCAATAAAATTATTCTATTCCAAGGTAATGGTGGGGCCTTTTTAACGAAATTACTTGGGGAAGCACTGAAGCCCCTCAGCCCCATGGTGCGCCCAGTCAAGTCCCTTTTCTCTAAAATATAAGCAAAACATTGTACGAAAATTGAAATTTAGAAGGGTAGTTTGATGTCCCAGTATGACTGAACCTTGTTTTGTGAATCTTATGTTATGTATTTTATCTTCAAACAAGACGCCGACTCGGCGTTAACCTCGGGTCGGTGGATAGGGGATCGTCTGGTAAATATCCAAAAATTGTGTAAATCACGATAGTTTAATAGTTCACTAGTATAAATGGTGAATCAGTTAATCAAAGCTCCGTTTTAATATTTTATTGACAATAATTACTGGCCCTCATCAAACCTATTGTTTTCTCTCTGCATCATATCAGCGAATGTCGAGAAGTTTTCATTTAACGTTCTACTGAAAAACGGGAGCGGCCTTTTTGGTTGTATAGGGAAATTCCGGCTCAGGGGTAAATGTTTATACGCGTCATATTCTATGTACGCGTTAAAATAGCACACAACATTATTAAAAATAATGCAGCTTGCATCAGTGCACACAGACATATGCATTATTAGCAATAATGCATCTTCGTCACCCTGACATTTACACGCGATAACGTGAACGTCCTAAGATGAGAAGGTGACAGTGCTAAAGGCCCCCCATACGGTGTCGTCGGGTGCCTGAAGCACTGTTGGAAACGATCGCTGTGAGTCTTTTCAGTTCAATTTTATAGAGAAATAGTTTCGTTTGCGCTTGTGGGATTTTATCCTAGATATACGCATGTGCAGAATACATGTACACCATAAGTTCTATTCCCGTGTTTATCCAATACGCTGTTTGAGTAAACCTTGTCATTAATGATATGTAAACTAGAACACTATAATTGACCTCCGCTTGTGGAGATTTAAATTTAGGGCGATTAATGAAACTGAAATCTGTTCTATCACAATGCACTACAGTGCCTATGGTTATGTCTATATGCATGTCCTCACAAATGTCTAGTGTAACGTTGGATAGGTTCATTGTCATACGGTCCCGACAAGCAGCAACGTACAGTAGTTCCAGCCGAAAATAATTACTTTTGATTCGGGTCAGTAATTATAATAGATAACAAGTGAAAGTTGGCCGCGGTATTCCCATGCTATGCATACGAAGTATTGTGCATTATATCAACATATACTCGAGAATAGTTGTCCAGCTAAACATGTATGTCAAAATTATCACATCTTCTGGTTTTAAATCAACAATTCTGATGGATTTTGTGCAAGGACAGCTTCGCGTTCCGTTCATAGATATCTTATATAAACTGGATAGCGCATCTCTTTTAGTAAAATTGAAGCCAAGAATATCCCAGCGGTTACCCCCATTTGAATAGATGGCGGCCATGTTGGATCTTCCCACTCGCTAATAAACGCTTAAAAGATAACAATAATTTTCATCATTTGAATAGTTTGAAAATGTATTTATAATAGGATTAACTTAATGTTTAAGTTCCCTGTTTAAGAAATAGGATACATACGAATCTTCTCATTTCATGGGAAGATCCTGAGCCTGCAATCACGGCTTCAATTTTTGAATTGCAGAATAATTAGATGCGCTATCTAGTGTATATAAGATATCTATGGTTCCGTTTCGCTTTGGCCGATGCTTGCCGGAAGTACACTTATTTACCGGATGTTGTCGTCTCCTCCGCAGGCCCTTCGATCTTCGACTACGCGCGCGGCTCGACACAAATGGAAAAATACGGGAGCCGAATTTAAGCCTCGGTTCGTACCGACCCGGGTAATGATTCAATGTCTTTTTAAAAACATTAATTTAAACATTGCGCTGTATCCATGATACCTTAGATTTTAAAAATTTCCGAGTGGATGGCATATCCCAGACCCTATAGATTTGAGTTGTTGGAAGGCTAGGCCAAACAAGTTAGTGACCGATCGCGAGTTGTGATATTTACATAAACATACCATGCAAAGTACTTCAACTGAAGATTCAGTCTATCCATACAGTATAATGTATTGAAAAGAGAGAGATGAAATGCAGTCCTAGGGGTAGAAAATACGAACATATTTTGGATAGGAATGCCCCAGACCACCCTTTCTGTCACCAAACGTTTAGTCACCAACTATACCATCTGTCATCTCTCCACGATTTGTATACTATGATCCATTGGTCCCTTTTTGTACATGCCTCCCCCCTCCCCAAGGACGCATTAATCTTAAAAAAGGCCCTGGGTCATGGCAATAGTAAATGTATACAGCCACAAGAAAAATATAAGAAAACAATAACTTAATTAAGCACTTCTAATGAAACTTTAATCAGTTCCAATTAAGATATTATCAAAATGAATATAGTAGGACAAGATACCTTAGTTAATTAACTACATCTAATGAAATTTAAATCAATTCCAATATATAACCCAAATGAGTTGTGAAACAAGGTACCATGCATAACCGGAGAACATCGATCAATATGAACAACCGTAAAATTCGGCCCTCATAGAGATATGACCATACCAGACTCTTGGGTGAATGCGAATAAATCGAGCCTTAATAGAAGGTGTAACAACATGGTTGACAATGGAGCTCCTGTCGCTGTTACCATTGAATACCTAAAATTAAGGCAAGTAATAATAAAGACATAATGCAATTTCTTATATATCTAATAAGGAACACAACAATTCAGCTTACCTTAAGCATTCTCCCTGGTTTATAGCTACGGAAACTTTTTCCATCATCGCTAAAGGAAATCGTGTAGCTCTTGATAAACTGAGTTGCTTCTTGTCGCCCTTGAGTACTTATTCCTGTAATGATCGTAGATCGTTGAAAATCCACTTGTAGCCATTGATTCCGATCATTTCTTCGAGATGACCATGCCCCAGTCCTCCCACTACCTGCTCTGAAGTTGAGTCTCCCATTGGGTGCCCGATGGCCGTTATCCCAATGGGTTGATGCCGTGATTTGATTATCACGAATTTTACCATTTTCCATTCCGAGAGCCTTTACATTTTACATCCTGTTAATACAATGAATGTTAATTAGTGCAAAGCCATTGCATGTACATGTAATGTATTGTGACAGCTGGGACGACGAAGAATGTACTGTAATTTTACAGAGATTGTTATTTAAACTCGTTGATATTATAAAACATTTATTATTATTGTCAGCTTTCTACACCATATATACAATTAAAATAAAACTAAAAAGGCGATTTCAAACAAGTTTCGTCCTTCCGACCTTTTTAATAAATCGCCATATTGTAAATAGATAAAGTGAATAAATATTTTTTATTGTTTTAGCATCTCAAATAATGCATTTCTTGTTTGTTTCAAGTATAAATGCCATATAATAAACTTTTTATTTACCTCGCTTGCTCGGTATGTACAGAGAAATATAGGACTCGGTCTTTTGTACAAGATATTGAGGTCAAACACATGTCAAATAACGGATTTCTTTTTTAATACATAGAGAATAATACATAGGTGCGCGAAAATACCAAATTTATTTCTCATATATAACACTTATGTTTATACATGCACTTATGTAACTATATGTATATAATATCATTTATGTTTTATATAACACTATATTTATATAATAAATAGAGAATATTATTAATACATGGGTGCGCGGAAATACCAGATTTATTTCGAGTGTTGAACATGATATCTCACGAGTGAGCGCAGCAAACGAAAGGACGGTCTTTGAAAAGCGATAATTTCTACAGAAAAGCGATAATTGAAAACTCGATAATTTTCACATGAGAAATTCAAATTATCAGAAATAATCTCACATGTGAGATTATCAGTTTTATCAGTGCTCGAAATCTCTATAAAGCACTATACTTTATATAATAAATACTATTATACTGTAATTTACGATTACAGTACTGTAAAATATATAGCAGTACGTTATTCGGTAAAAAACAACAATATTTTTAGCAGCTCAGTATCGTAATTGGTGAGGAATGTACATGTTTTTCTAGCTTGGTGGAATTCAATTATGTATGTCAATACAGTGCCGGTGTACAGTATATTTACAATGTTCGTATACCTGCAAGTTTTTTTTTGTTATAAAAGTCGTAAAAGAAATCGTATACTCACGCCTTCATTCAAAAGTGTACGAAAGTGTTTCGAACATGACCCCTAAACATATCGATAATTAGAAATATAAAACATTAATAACTAAATGATGAAAATTGTAGCAACAATAGCCACAATAAACAAACTACGCGTCTCATTTTCAATTTTGGCACCCACGAATCTTTTCCATGCACGAATAGTTTAGATTCGACTGAAACAACAAAAGTTTATTACGAAACATTACCCTTCCATATTTTGTAAATAATACTCAGTTAAAGTTTCCTGGTTTACCTAGAAATAACCGTATCTAGGTTAACCTAATATTCTTGATTAAATTTCCTAGTTGTTTTATCTCTCTTCCTACCATAATCAGGTTAATGTGACCGGGAATCAGCTGGTTATATGTTGGCTTAGACAAAGGAAAAAAATCTCCAAAGAAAGTACATGTGCATGCGGACAACTTGAAACGTTAGACTAAAGAAAATTGCACAAGCAGTTATCAAACGCATGTCACAGAAGTGGAAAAAAACATATGTGACAACTGAATAGTAAGTATCCTTTTGTAAAGACTTTTACCAAGGATGGGTATTTACTTTTTAATTGATATTTGAGGTTGGGTAAAAATGTTTCTCACTTTTTCAAGATTGGGTCTGCAAAACTGTTGCAAAGAAAAACACTTCTCTTCGGTGCCATCCCCCCCCCCCAATAATTAATGACCGTTCCCTTATAACACTTTTGAAAAAAGCATGTCATTCATGGAATAATTAAGACTTGCAGTCAATTACCTATAATTTACCTATTTGGCTAAAAGTCTCGCTTCTCTGTATTCAACTCTAAGGACACTGTGGTTAAAATTTATTACTTAATCTACTAAAATTTATTAGTGTACTACTATATTGTGTTTTCAGAGTGTACAACTATATTGTGTTTTCAGAGTGTACTACTATAATTATTGTCTTTTCAGAGTGTACTGCTATAATTATTGTCTTTTCAGAGTGTACTACTTATATTGTGAATCTGAAAAACATAAAACAAGTCTGTGCGAACGGTGCGAAATATGAACAAGGATTTTATCAAACCCATTATAAAGTTGCATTGCATCCTAATGCACCCCACTTCATTATTTTACTCTGGCCGACGCCAGACGATTTTACTTGTTAAAGGGGCCCTACAGTCATTTTTTAGTCAAGTATTGTTTACATTTTTTGTTATTGTCGCTACTTGACATGCGCATCACGGCATGCATGCGTCTTCCTGTGTGCGGAAGTACTCATACTCATGGATACTGCATGTAAGTTACAGCCAAACGAATCTCTGTGGAGTCCCCTACTTAAGGTGACTTTTCCACTAAAAAAATACTGTAGGGCCCCTTTAAGGGGAGAGCGCTCAATACCCCAATGGGTTAATTAATTTTCAATAGTTTAGAATGTTCGTTATAATTTCCCTGGCTATAATTAAAGCTCATATCCTCCGATAAGTTCTCTTCACAGAAACAACCCCATGCTCTGCCATTTGCCATGCCGAATCTCGCGCGATATTTTCCAACACAGTTCGCAGGTAGCACATCGTTGCAATGTTTATCTCTCTTTTTTTGCGCTATAAAATCTATAATGATGAAATCAGACAATGAAAAATTATATTTATTTATAACAATAGCTACATATGTATCTTTGTTATATAGTTAGTGTCAAAGTTCAATTTTTCTGTTTGCCGATTGGTCAAAACCGTACCACGTGCCGATCCACAAAACGCCGTGTTCACTGCGTGCTTTGCCGAGGGGGCAACCGGTCCACAATGAAACATTTATTGACCGGTCCATAATAAAATGGGTGCAATACGCATGCGTGTCAACCATGAATTCCAAAGTTCATTTTTAAACTTTTTATTAAACATTTACGGTGTTCCATTTATCCAGTTTTGGTTTCAAATTAAGTTCAATCCAATAACCGGCGATCAATTTTTCATACTTTGACACGTATATACTATATAACATAACACTTATTTACTGAGACCTCGGGAAAGCAGTGTATTTTGTGGCTCCTCGACCGCTGTTGTTGCCTGCGGCAGTCTCGGGTCCACCAAACACACTGTTTCCCTCGGTCTCAGTAAATAAGTGATAAATATATAATGTTGTCTTATTGTTCACTCGGTAATATGATAAGGAGAAAAAGTTTTCGAGTAAGGTATTTCATAATCGATCTGGTAATTCGAAGGTCGCGGTTTCGAAATCCAGCCGAATTATTTTACAATTAATGAGTTTGAAATTTTGCGCTGTTGTTTTCGTTCTTGGATACGTCGGGAGCATTATTGTTCACTCGGTAATATTGTGATCCGTCCTGACCGTGTAGCTCAGCAGAGGATCGATCTAGTAATTCGAAGGTCGTGGGTTCGAAACCCAGCCGCGGGAGACAGAGTTTTCTGCTTGCGCGGTCTGGAAATTATGAAATATGCACTCGAGAACATTTTCTACTTTAGTGATTTTTCACATATTGCTATGATTAGCACTGATGAAGATCAAAAAGCTTTGCAGTAATAAATTTATGTGGTGTTTCCACAAACAAAAAGTATTATTATATTTTCTACTTGGGTTAGATTATTTAACAAGTGATTACAAGCCTATATTTACTGGTGAATATAGTCTTGTGATCACGGAGTCTGCGGTGACTAATTGTTTTAGCATAAATTCCGTATTGAAAAATAATAATATATACAAACACTGTACTTCACTCTTCCGCTTTTGAGTCAAACGAATGCAGCTGTCGAAACCTTGTCGTCTGATTCTGTTATTCCCCAGTTTTAAATTGCCAAATAAATTGTTTTAAGCCGGTTGTCCACTAGCGAAATTTGTCGCGCGAATCTTTTGTCTATATATAAGCTCTCGGCTGGAAATGAATTAATTAGATTTTTAATAAATTCTTTTCAATTTTAAAGGACAATGGCAACAATAAAATTATTATCTCAATAAAAAGAACGTTTAAAATTATCTATAAAATCTTCTTACAGATTTTTTGTAGCAAGCTTAAAGGTGGTGTTACACGAGCAAAAAATTGCTGCAACTTGCAACAAAATCTGATTTCAACGCATGCTAATTGAAAATGTTTACACGTAAATTACAAATCACAAGGCAACATAACATGTGTCCACATTTCTACTTAACATGAGTTGAAATCAGATTTTGTTGCAAGTTGCAGCAATTTTGTTGCTCGTGTTACTCCAGCTGAACTCATGAAATATTTTGAATGTAGGCAATGAGCTGTCTGCCATCTTGGATTAATTCTGAACCTCATTAACTGTCGTTTTGATGACGTCAGGAGTGGGGTTAGCTTTATAAAATTACTTCTAAGTTACAGACTAACAATCAAATGTTGTTTAAATTGTTTTTATTCAATTCAAAATTTGAACTAGCAACCAAAAACGAGTTTCGGGTTCATATTGCGTGACCCCACTTGTGACGTATCATGCACATCCTCAATAATCCATGCAAGATGGCGGACAGTTCATTGCTTTCAGTCGATCAAAATATTGAAACATCTTTATTTTAGAAATGATTTAAAACGTTCTTTCAAAAGAAACAATAAAAAATTTTGTTGCCATTGTCCTTTAACAATAAAAAATTCGCTCCGCGCGAAGAAATTCGCTAGTGGAAAATAGGCATAAGGCATCTAACGCCTGTATTTCTAAAAGCTCGCTCACACTCAATGAGTGGAAGTTCAATGTAAGCTTCTCTTGAGTGTCAATGCTGTTTTTGAATAGCTGCAGGGCAAGTAGTCACATAGTAAGGTACGACACTAACCCTCCAGCTATTTAAAAACAGCTTTGACACACAAGAGAAGCTCAGATTGAACCTCCACTCATTGAGCGTGAGTGAGCTTTTACAATACCGGTGTATGAATTGCTTTCTTCTTTCGGAAATAGGTTAACACCATGTATTGTTACTTCTTTTGCTTTTAGAGAAATAGTATGTGCTTTAATTTCTTCAATTTTTCTTCGGTGATTTGTTTGCAAGTGGATTTCCGCCAGCCATTTTGTTTTGAAAGCATTAGTTACTGCTCAGAACTATTGCCTCAAAGTCACTGCTGAGGGAGCCAATCAGAACGCTTGAAACCCATTGTTCAATAATGAATTGATACTAAATCCATAGTTGTTTATCATTTACATGGAAAACCCATCCGGTTTGAAATTGTGCTGACGGTAAGCAAAATTTCGGATAGAAAATCCCATTGGGATTATGAGCTTTCCATTTAAAGTGACTGACCGGAAGGCACTGAAGGGTTGTGTTCACCATTTACATGGAAAACCCATCCGGTCTGAATTAAATCGCGAAGAGCCGGAACTGATTAAAAAATAAAAAGTTGTAAATGGAACAAAATTTACAGGTTGAAACGCAAGCCTTGATAAAATATTCTGGCAGCAGGCTTCCCAGACCAAAAATTTCCTGCCAGTTTTTTTATAAATATGAATTTTGGTTGTAATTCAAATTGACAGGCAGTCGTAGCACTGTCAGTACATGATACAAAATTTTATGTTATGATTGTTGTATTTATGCTCTAATTGTGATGTTTGTTACTTTAATTAATTAATGCTGATTTTTGAAATTTCTCGAGCATCATTCCTGATATTTTGCTTTTCCTTAAAAATTTCCAGTGAGATTAAAAAAGTTTCATGACAGCATGCTGCCATGCTGGTAGCCTGCATGGCAGGCGGTTCCTAAAATTGAGCAAGCCTCAATCTCGTTCCCAGAGTATGCCTGTTCGCGGGTTAGGTAGTGGCATGACTCTGGGGAAATAGAATTTTTTTATCCAAAATGAGATAAATGGCGCATGCGCTTTTATTGCTTTTGTTTATTCCGCTTACTAAATTCGCGCGGGCACACGCTCACAATCGATATTGTTTTAAACAAAGATTCTCATCAGAATATAGTATACAAAATGGGTTTTTATCCGTATCTTTAAATCGTACTACTATTAAATTATATTCAATGGCAAATACTGAAAGAGCTATGAAAGTTGTTCTAGCGAAAAGCGAGCTTGAATATTTGTTAAAAGACGAGACATTCAAATGTATCTCGGCCATATTAAATGTAAAATGGTGAAGATGTTTTGGTTGTTTTGCCAAGAGGTTATGGGCTTATTATGGCAAATATTAAAATATTTCAGCTGCTACCTGACGTGTACGACGTGTTACTTGGCGTAACTAATTCTATCGTGATAGTAATATCTCCACATGAATGACCAAGGCATTTATGCATGCATGATGACATGATGTCAAAGTATGATACAAGGCCATTCTGTGCTACACTATATTATGGTGATGGCAGCGATATCAAATTACCATTGGATCGACGTGAGAACCTGACGTATAAGCTGTTCTATATGCACCCAGAAATGTGTGTCTGTGACAAGAAAATACAAGCTTTTTTGAACTGTATACTGTAAACCTCTGAATATAATGCTCACCTCATTCCAAATATAAGCCCCCCCCCCAAATATAAGCCCCCCCTGAATACAAGTCCCCTGAATATAAGCCCCCTGAATGTAAGCCCAGTATCCCACTATGTTATTTAACATTGACATTGTCTCTTAATATAGCAGAGAACGATATTTGAAACACTGTCATTGTCTTTATAGCTTACTTTGTTAATGGAAGTGTGTTATTAATACATGTCTATTTTCCTGTTTATGACTGACTTGTTTATTACTAACACAATTGATCGTCCATGTATAAGGCCCCTGTGCATATAAGCCTCCCCCCTCCCCCTAAGCCCACCAAAAATCACTTACAAAAGACTATAAGCCCAGGGCTTATAGTCAGAGGTTTACGGTATTATATATCCCATATTTTAACAATAAACACATTCTTTTTTATATTATATTACATTAACATATATACATGGATCACATATTAAGTCTTTAAATGACAGTACATTGTGTTTGTAATTATAATTACCATAATTACTTGTGTCGAAAGTAAGAAATGAAGTGAACAAATCCATATATATTTGTTGAAAATTTCTTGCAGTGGGTATCTTCCATTTGTTTTTCATGCTTCACACTGTGTATCTTTGAACATTTAATCGGCAACTAATTATAGGCAAGGATATACTTACTAGCTCATTTCTCCATATTACCAGGTACATAACATGCAAACTATACATCAACCTTGCAATCCAGGCTTTAACCCCTACAGTTGCCCCTCTCCTGCAGCATGTTTGGGAAGGGAGAGGAATGAATGGAGGTAATTTCTATATTTAGCCCCTTCTCTTCAAGCCCCTTTCCAATAACCCCCCCCCCCCCTCATTTGGATACAAAAATAAAAAATAAATAAGCCCCCCTCCTCTTTTAACCATGCAGCCCTCATTAAATTTCTTAAAATCATGAAATATATTGCATTTCTGCAGTATTTTAATAAAATATAGTACAACGGTAACTCTGAATATGGACATTTTTTAATGGTAACCAGACTTATTGCATATATTTAGAACAAGTGCCCCCTCAATGATGCTTAGGAAACAATAATACCCAGGAGGCTTGATATTGATACAGAAATTAAAGTAGTTATTTGATTGAAACTGGTAGCTATCTCAATTCTACTGTATCTCCTTTTATATATAATTGGATTAATTGCCAATATATTCACATAGTATAATAGTTTGGAAATGGAATCAATACTTGTATATTTTTAGCAAATGAGCATTGTTATTGATCAACAATAACTCTTATTGCTATAAACAACATTGTTTCACATAGCAACAGACAAGGAAACATCTGTATTTAAATTCACTACTTATTTTTTATCCAGACACAAATTGATGCAAAAATTGTTTCAGGTTTGGCTTAGTTATAGCCTTACATCAGGCTATTCCATTTAATATCCATATCCCGACCCCTTATCGAGGATCCCTGGAATTCTTCAGGGGTAAAGGGTTTTGAGCTTGGAATTCTTCAGGGGTAAAGTGTTTTGAGCTTGGAATTCTTCAGGGGTAAAGTGTTTCGAGTTTGGAATTCTTCTGGGGTAAAGGGTTTTGAGCTTGGAATTCTTCAGGGGTAAAGGGTTTTGAGCTTGGAATTCTTCAGGGATAAAGCGTTTTGAGCTTGAAATTTTGGAATTCTTTGAACAGGGGTAAAAGGTTTTGAGCTTGGAATTCTTCAGGGGTAAAGGGTTTTGAGCTTGGAATTTTGGAATTCTTCAGGGGTAAAAGGTTTTGAGTTTGAAATTCTTCAGGGGTATAACCATGAAAAACATGTATCCTCCAGGGGGTGTACGGATATTAAATGGAATAGCCCATCATGCTGTTAAGTGGCAATCACTTACAAAGCAAATCTATAACCAAATGTTTTACAACCTGAGGAACTTCTTAAATCAATTATTCTATAATTTATACAGATGCTACAAAAAACACCTGGCATCTTAAAATTATATAAATAACTCCATTTACAAAAGCACAAAGACCACGGGCTACAACATGTTGAGTGTTGACCATTGACCATAATGTACTGTATTATTTAAAGCTTCAAGTTTTTAACACAAGCAAAAGCTGTCACTCCAAAGTCCTGGCAACAATATGTCAATTTAACAAAACGACGTGTGCGATGATTTCATTTAGCCAATTCTTCCATGGTTATAATAAATATACTCATACTGTAGATCGATAAAAAGTCATTCATAAATACCATGCCATTTTGTAAGTATATACCCAACGTCCCAATACTTTTTCATACGATTAATATAATATCCTTCGATTTATATCGTTTGATTTCGCATTCCAAATCTGATAAACATTGATAATTCTCTCTTCGCGTATGTCCACGCGTAATTCTCGCAAAAAACACGCATTAATTGTGTCGGCAGCATTGATGATCACGGCAGCCAATCAAATAACGATTTCGATTCGATTTCCCCAGAGTCATGCCACTACCTAACCCGCGAACAGGCATACTCTGGGAGCGAGATTGGGCAAGCCTGGGAAATACCGCCTGCTGGGTTTCGGATTCCCCGTCCACCAGTGGACAGGAATTGATGATTGGCTGCGAGTCTGAGCCGCTGTCACTCAAAAGTGAATACACTTTAATATGTAAACATACGTTTGACACTTTAATGTACATGCGTTCGCTTTAATAGGGGGATTCAAGGTTTCCGACGCCGTTGGCTCAGGGGGTGCAAACACATTGGGGCGAGCGCGCGGCCAGCGCCATTTTCCATACTATTTTATATTAGGAGTGGGAAAATTACGTTTGCACAATTTGTTGAATTTCTGCAAAAATATTAAAGAATCATTCAATGTTACAAGTTATTGTCAATTTCTGGGTATTTTCTGATGTCTGTACGGGTTTTTATGCGAATCATAGGCCTGGAAGTATTAAAATATGGCGAGTTCGTTGGGACGTTTTGCGAGCTGTTTATTATAGTTTAGTATTGCTTACATGACAGCGTGTATATGAAAACATTTGGTTGCTTCGAGATTTAACGCCCAAAATGGATGAAATTTTCGCTGAACATAAATATTTATCATACAGGAAACCACATGTAGTGTGAACATGTAATTTGATATCTTGTGCGCCTCGCCGGTGCTATTTTGTCACTTCAATACCTGTTATCAGTGGTGTCGCATTGCAGTTGATAGACTTCATAGCTTCAATTTGCCGAGAAATATAGAAGGCCTCTTGTGAAAAAAGTATTTTCGACAGCTCTGTTCTCTTTGAGGAAGTTAAAAATATTTGTCGTGCGGCAGTGAACGAATGGCGACGGGACAGCCAGAAGAAAGTCGGACTTATGAAGATTTTCTGACCTGGACGAACACCACACTGAAAGATTCTGAGTTTATATCTTTTGAGTGTTGTATAAATAGTATATAAAGTGTATATAGTAATGTACAGAATAGCCTGTATATTATGTTGATGTATACACTATAGATAAGTAGGATATATTGTGTATATTCTGCAGCCTATATGACCAAACTTGTATATAGTTGGTGACTGGTATATACAGTGAGTGTTTGAGTGAATGTCAGAGTACTCATAGTGTATATTGTGTATATACTATTGTACTGTATGTGCAGAATATACTGTACATATATTATCCGTATATAGTCAAAAGTGTATACGGAGATATATAGTGATAAGTGTACAGTATAAACGTATATACACAATGTGCATATACTATCAGTACATCACTATATACACTGTATTCACTTTTGACTAGCCAGACTAGTGTTTGAGTTTTGTCAAAAAGTACATATATACACAATATATACTCTAGGTATATTATCTGTATATAGTCAAAAGTGTATGCAGTGTATATAGTAAGACTGTAAGTGTTTGAGTGAATGTCAAAGGACAAAGAGTAGCTATATAGTGTATACATCTAGTCATAAATACACAATTACAAAACAAGGCTTCCTGCATATCTACAGACTACAATCAAGTTGATAAAAGCGAGAATATACAATATATACAATTTTGACTATAGACATGTATATTGTGTATATACAGACTAGCAAGTTGATAAAAGCGAGAATATACAATATATACAGTCACTGGGCTATGTCTATAGACATGTATATTTTTTGGGCTATGTCTATAGACATGTATATTATGTATATAGATGAGTATAACTGTAAAGTATGTATACAAAACATGTATATTTTGCAATACCGCGCCTTAGTGAAGAATATTCGTGGCTTCAAGCAAACTGATTCAAATGCTAACTGATTGCAAGAGCATTTGGTCTTGGAGCATATACGAGTTAAACACTCCAGTAAGATTCACTCAAAACTCCACACAGTAACTGGCGCACACTTTTAAATCCTCTTGGAAACAGTTTAACAGATAATAACAATGATAATAATGTTGATATAACTGTATATCAACACGGAAAATGTTTTATATTTGTTAAATGTTCAGCGAAAATTTCATCCATTTCGGGCGTTAAATTTCGAAGCAACCGAATGTTTTCACATACACGCTGACATGTAAACAATACTAAACTATAATAAACAGCTCGCAAAACGTCCCAACGAACTCGCCATATTTTAATACTTCCAGGCCTTTGATTCGGATGAAAACCCGTACAGACATCAGAAAATACCCAGAAATTGATAACTTGTAAAATTGAACGATTCTTTAATATTTTTGCAGAAATTCAACAAATTGTGCAAACGTAATTTTCCCACTCCTAATATAAAATAGTATGGGAAATGGCGTTGGCCGCGCGCTCGCCCCAATGTGTTTGCACCCCCTGAGCCAATGGCGTCGGAAACCTTGAATCCCCCTATTAATAGGTGTTGTAAAACTGAACGCTTCTCGAAAGTCGAACTCGGCGCGAACTGATTATCAATTAATGCGAGCAAGAGATAGCAGTTAAAGATTTACTCCTTGGAAAGAATGCTTTGGCCATTCTATGGGAAAAGCCTGATTTTTACATTGTTCTTATTGGCGCGAGAAAATATAACGAGAATAGTTACAGACGGCCGTATAGTCTTTCTTGCAACGGGTTTTATAACAATAACAGGACTATTACGCCTAGGCCTGTTAGCCGCTTCACTTTCTGAACTTTTTAAGGCTTTCGTTACCACACAGCTTCGTTAGGGAGATGAGACAGTTAATATTGGCAACTGAGGTTTTTAATATACAACTGTCTATTTGTTCGAACGTACACAGGCAACGCGTTTATGTCTCGTTTGATTATAAATGGCAATCAGTTCGCTTGCATTTCGGATATTTCGCTTACACGGTTTACAAACTTGGTCGGATAGTTCCGAGGTAGAATTAACTTCGATTCCTAAATGAACTGAACCGGCAATTCGGCTTATTTTGGCCAAGGTTTTACCACTGTCGTAACGTTTCTTTTCTTTGCCTTAAATAAATAATTTCTCCGACGATATATAAGAATATAAGATATTTTCTCTATTGGCGTATTGCCCCGTATTTTAGTTTAATTTCAAAGCACACTTAAGTCATTTACATTTTCCCTGAACTTTCAATGGCGTTTCTCTCGACATATTTTCATACATTTGCAATTTTGCGACCAAACAATAATTAAACATAGTTTGACAGTTTGATTATTAATACATTTAGTGTTTGCTGATTGGCTAATTGGGCCCGGACAAAAAAGTGGGCGGTTATCAAATTACACTGCCAAACCCAGCAGGCGGTATTTTAGACCGCCTGCCATGCAGGCTACCATGCTGGCGGACTTTCTCATGCTTTGTTGAAACGTTCCAATCAGTAAGAGAGGACAACCTTTTCAAACAAATCGTTCATTCAGGAAAAGTTCCAGTTGGACTGTCGAAAAATGTTTGTTCCATTTACGCCTTACAAAAAGTCCACATGATTTCACATGTGTGAACTTTCACATGTGAATTTGGAACTTGTGATTTTTCACATGTGAAATTTCACATGTGAAATTATGTTTCACATGTTCCAAATTCATATGTGAAACTTCACATGTGAAATTTCACATGTGAAGTTTCACATGTGAAACTCATAATTTCACATGTGTTCTCATGTGAAAAATTACATGTTCCAAATTCACATGTTCCATTTCCGTATGGAATCACGTAAATGGCAAACAACCCATATATAGAAGGGAAATTGCAATTAGTATGCAAACCATACCATTTCCAACGACGATCCATGCTGTTTCCATAGTCAGGATTTTGAAACAAAATTCCAGTGTATTACCACAGAATAAAGACACACAGAAGGTCGACACGAGTAACCGCTGTCACGCCATGATTCATCATCAAAATGCTGACGCCATGGTCCTAGCCAGTGCGCGCTTGAGAGGCATTATCCACTGGACGTCCGCCATTCTGAATATTATCAGGCGGGTGAATGCCTCTCAAACGCGCACTGGCTAGGACCATGGCGTCAGCATTTTGATGACGAATTACGGTTACGCCCAAATCATTGGAAAATCATAGGAAAAACCAAGAAGTCGACCTTCTGTATGACTTAATCTGTGGTATTACTCTGTCAGCATTTCAAGTGCAAGTACACCAGGCTTACAGTCAAAATACAAGAACCTTCCCACTTCCGCTTCCATAACTTGTTTTGTATTTCTGTAATTTGTTCTATTTTTCTGTAGCGATTATCGCTTTATCGGCAAATATTGCGGTAGAATTCCCCTTTCTTTCCTTTTTATACGTAAATTTGTAGCAAATTAAGGATACATCTTTCGTTAGACTCTTTGCATAAAAGTTGCGAACTTTAATTTTAGTACGTCATGAAATGATTGTAGTCGGTAATTTTAAATTTGTATAGTATGAACATACTATGAGCGGCGGTTTAAAACAAATATCAGCAAAAATCAGCAAATATCGCTATAAGATCTACGCTTCGCAACTTTTATGCAAAGAATCTAACGAAATGTGTATCCATTGCTACAAATTGACGTATGTAAACGAAGGAAATTAGCGAAATTCTACCGGACCCGATCGCGATATTTGCCGATAAAGCGGTAATCGCTACAGAAAAATAAAACAAATTACAGAAATACAAAACAAGTTACGGAAATGGGACCGTTCGTGTATTTTGACTGTAAATGTCTCAACAACACGTACCTGGGAGGTAGTAAATCATGCCCACGAGTGGTTCCACGTTTCCTTTTCGGCGATCACAAAATGCTTGCCAGCTAATGCAGCCATAACAGCCAGCTCCGTTGATTCCACGCGACATCGCCATCAAAGCAGGTGGTGGTAGCGGGTCCAGCCACAAGTTCAATTGGGCCACACGCCCTATGATACTCCCGTTGTTTCGATCTGAAATATAAGAATGAGAAATTAAATGAATTTGTAAATGGAGATTTTGGAGTGGATTTTTTATGCGAGAACCCATGTCACATGATGTCAACGGGTAACAGCCAGGATTTCTAAATTGAGAAATACGAGCGATACCCATGCAACAAGGACGATCATCTGAGCCATCCAACAGTGCCTTAATCGGAAAGTCAACCCTGACCCCGATTCTAACCTCTAACCCCTCAACCCCAATCAAAACCCAATGTAACTGTAAGGCGATGCCAATGGAAGGTGTATGGGTAAATATCACGAGTTTGATCATCTCACTCGATATAACGAATAGACAATTCCCATTATAGACTAATTTTAAAACTAGGCAAGGAGATGCAAGTAAATCACTACAGTAAAATTGCAAAACGTTTGGTTGCGAAATGTTGTAAAATGAGGAAAATATAGCTTTGCGAAGTTTGCAAATTTTGTATACTTTTGTATTGCGTGCGGAAATTGCTATCATTGGAGAGTTTGAGCTTCGCGTTATACGTCAAACGGCAAACGCCAGGCAAAGAAAAATTTTACGGTATCAGGCAATAATTAAAGAGTAAATGAACTTGCTGTTTTAAGACTGAAATACATGATCATTCTTTCAACGCAAGAAAGGAAATATGAAACGAAAACGTTCAACGAAAATTTTTCCAAGAAAGCTGGAACATGCCGTTTGCCGTTCCCGGAAACGTGAAGCTTAAACTCCCTATTTTCGGTCCAAATGGCAATTTCCGCACGCAATACTGGCGTATACAAAATATGCGAAATTTCCAAGGCTGCATTTTCCGCATTTTACAACATTTTGCAACCAAACTTTGCAATTTTGCTAATTTTAGTACGCTCTTTCCGGGAATATACTTTTTTGCCAAGGTAAAAAATTAGTCTGTAATGGGAATTAGGGGTGCACCGTAACTCGGTTCCGGCCGGTTAGTTCGGCCGGAACCCCGATTTTCTACAGTTCCGGTTCCGGCCGGAACTAGTAAAAAAGCATGGCCGGAACCGGAACTCTGTCGTTTTCAGAGAGATAGAATATCAAACGTTTTTGTGTCTAACAAAAGGTCACAGTAGGAAGAAATTTGGACTACGCAAGGGAAATGTACGTACACTTTTAACACTTCATTATGACGTTTAACGCTTGTCAATTTTTTTATTCTAACATTTGCGAGCTCTCTCCTTGATGACTTGAAGTGTCTGCCTGTCTGGCAGCGGACAAAGTAACATATGACTATATATGGCTCAATAAATTAGTTCCGGTTCCAGCCAGAACTTCCGGCCGGAACTTTTTTCCAGTTCCGGTCGGATCCGGTTCCGGCAGGAACTTAAAAACTGGTTCCGGTACACCCCTAATGGGAATTATCTATTCTCGAAGGGATCATTGTATATTTGGAAAAAGGGGTCTGAAGAAATTTTCGAGTGGAATATTTATACATTTATTAGACCTATAACCAGTATCAGTTTCATTTTTGCTTTTTATGATGAAGTGTGTCTAAAATATACTTATTCTAAAAGACCATATGCTCTGGCTTCTTAGAGGCTGTTTCCACTTCAACCGTATGGCCACGACAAGGTATTCAAGGTAAGTGTTTTTCGTCTTTGTTTTGTATTTTTTAACATTTGTAGCTACGAAATTGGCGTCGCCAATTTTTACGAAATTTGCGATGCATTTTTCAGTGTGTAGTGCTTGAAATATTTGCTAAAATTGACCGGGAATACTTAGAGATTTCATCGTAGAATGGCTTAGTCATGTTTATTTGCTATTTGACTAAAATGTTTAGCTGTATTATCGCTAAACATGCCGTTTTTGAGAATTTGGTTTGCAACTAGGTTGCAACGCCATCATCCCATTGAAAACATTAGGTCACGTCAGCTAGTTTCCTATCCATGTATTTTATTATCCATGCCAGTACGTTTTGGTACGATACCAATCTCGTACCCAGAGCAATGCCTGTGCGCGGGCTAGTAAGGCATTGGCTCTGGGGAAATTGACAACCTAAATTTAGAGGTTCTGGTTCTTTGTCGGCATCCACGATTGACAAACGTTAAACCAATCACAGCACAGGAAAAATTCAATTTCCCCAGAGCCAATGCCATCCTAGCCCGCGCACAGGCATTGCTCTGGGTACGAGATTGGTACGATACGGGCGAAGTGGAAAACCGGCTATAAGATCAAGGACGGCAACGTGACGACGACGGCTAGTGATACAATGAAATTAATAATATTTAAGAAAAAAGAAACGAATAATTAAAATCCCACGACAGATTTAGACGTCGTCCACGGTCTGTTTACAACCGGTAAACAAAAGCGTTTACGTCCTGTGACCAACGTTTGCATTTTAGTGCGTAAGAAGTGGATACTCAGCAAATAATTGCTTCAGTACTAATGTATTCTATTCACCTCCAATTACCCAAATTTCTTCTCTGCCTACAGCAAATGGAACATTTCGTAAAAAATTAGAGCTGATCTGCTTATGGACGCCATTCAAATTGCAATGTAAATCACCACTGTTGGTCCAGGAGAAAGCCAGGTAATTCCAAAACCCTGATTCAACGATGCTTCCAAAACTAAATAAAATATATTAATTTATAATGTGCCAGAAATCCTGGACATAATTTATTCCATACTAATTTACATACATAATTTTGAAATGTGGTTTCAACCTCGTCCCCAGGGCATTTTACCTTCACCGGTTAAGATCAGCGTAAATGGTCCTTGAATCCATAGATATAGGAGATCTAGATTGCTAACGCATACCTAGCGCAGGCGGGGCCTACATGATAAATCCAAGATGGCGGTACAACAGGGCAAAAAGACTATAGATTGTATTACGAAAATCGGGATTTTTACATTTTTTGCCGTCGCATTGTTTCGAAACTTATTCGGTCAAATTTTATGCTAAAGAGAAACTTACCGCGAAGATTTTGAGCATATATATGATTGAATTGGATGAAAAATCGCAAAATTATCCAGTGATAAAAGTTCGTGTGAAATGGTCAGTTGGTCAGTTGGAGCGTTTTATTGCCAGAAATACTGTGCTATGTTAGCATCTAGCTTTGTGAATGGTGTTTTATACGTGCATCTCTCATCATCATCTGCTCTGTCCTCATAATTATGAAAAATGAACTGTTATGTACCCCCCCCCCCTCCTTGCTTGTTAGAGAAGTAAACTGATGAGAGCACTGGATGAGGGTCTATCATCCATGGTCTGTTATAATTTGCTTTCTATGCAAATAGTGAGCGAAAATTAAAGCAAAACTGTACAAGTTACATATATAGTACTATATCAGTACTATACACGAACTTTTATCCTTGGATAATTTTGCGAGTTTTCATCCAATTCAATCATATATATGCTCAAAATCTTCGCGGCAAGTTTCTCTTTACCATAAAATTTGACCGAATAAGTTTCAAAACAATGCGACGGCAAAAAATGCAAAAGTCCTGATTTTCGTAATAGAATTTATAGTCTTTTTGCCCTGTTGTACCGCCATCTTGGATTTATCATGTAGGCCCCGCCTGCGCTAGGTATGCGTTAGCAATCTAGATCTCCTATATCTATGACCTATACCCAACCTCTAACTGATAATTTATGTCCCCTATCATAAATATTCCGTTTCAGGTATGGTATTTGTGGAAATCTAAAAACTCAGAGGGAGGTGGTCCTGTCCTAAATTTGCTGTTTTCGAATAGTCATGCATGCATGCAGATTCAGAGGTTCTCTAGATACTTTGGCTTATCTTTCTGTTGGGTTTTAGTGAAAAGCTTCGGAATTTAATCATGATGAACTATATATTATATAGCCTGTAGCCCTGACTAGCCCAATTCATCAACTGGATGATATGTGGGGAGGGTGGTTTGCGTGAGGAGGATAAGCGATTTAAAAAAAAAAACAAGATTGCATGGATTACTGTTTATTATTTCTTCATTACAAGTTTATTCATGCACCATCATATATGACATATATGATGTACTTTTGTCTAGTCTATATATTTATAATCAACATTCATAATCACATTTGTAAATTTACTGGAGGTTTAATCAAATTAATCAGTCCGTCATGACTACGTTCAACTACATGGAGGTGCGTACGGTTTTGCCTTGTAACCATTTCTCACTTTCTCCCAAGCCAATTCGAAAACGTATACAAGGGCGCTGTTTGTCTTTACTCGGTAAACGTATTTCTCTGGAGGATATGAAGCCACTTTAGCCATTTCATCTATTCCATGGATATGGTCACCGACTGCAACAACAAAAATGTCCACACCCATACCCTTGAGCTTTTTAGCATTGGGTATTGTTAGAGATTTATCTATATTCGACTGTCCATCAGTCATGAGAAGAACCTTTAATTTTGAAAAGGGTTGGCTTCCTTAATAAAAGAAACACATCACATAATACATTGACGGTCATTACTAATTACTACACGCAGTCGATTTCAACTGAAGTTTAACAAGTTTCAGTATAAACAAAGTTCGAACAATATTTTAGGCAAAAGTGAGTTGATATCGAATTTTATTTTGGAATTTTAGGAAAATGAAAAATTATATATATGGATGGCCATTTGCCTGCATGGAGAGTGTATTGTAGTTATATAAATGCATGACTGTTTCGTTTAAATATTCCTAGTAAAACTGCACAGGCAATTCCAAAAAACTATAAAGTACTCAAACAACGTATAACCAATTAATAATATCATAAGGTCAATTAAGGACCTGTATTAATAAAACATTTATATTTAGGGATCCCAACAATCCCCACAAAACGATGCACATTATAGTACTGCAGAAGCAGACAGAGCACAAAACTGTATACTACTAAAAATCCCTATTGAACCTTTCCTTGAGGAAAACCTGGAACTACACTAGAGTAACTTTTGTGTAATGGGAACTTGCTCCATTGCCACCAACCTGATCGGAATAGGTTCTCTGCTTCTGCCAATCCTGCTTGTGTATTTGTCCCGCCAGAAGGATAGGTGATTGCGCTCATTTTTTGACTTGCTTGTGCGGAAGGTAGGAATTTGAAATTGACTATTGCTCCGGACGAAAAGGTGACTGCAGCATGTCGGCAGCTATAGCTTCCCTTTGCCTCGCACATTTCTATTGCTTGGGTCAACGCCTTTCGTCCTTCATTAAATTCACATTGACCGACTGACCCTGACCCGTCCATAACAATGACAATATCCTCTTTAGTAATTGCTCTTTTCCCTACGTACTTTCCTGAATGAAAGCCTATGAAATTGGCCAAAATCTTCTGTGCGGTCTGTTGTGGAGAAGGGATGTTTTGCAGTTCTAGGAAACGTAATTGATTGTATATATGGTTCAGTGGTTATAGTTTCCCACAGTATAAAACCCCCGTTCAGACGGGACTGGGAAAGATAACTGGACTTGCACTGCTTTTAACAGGCATGCACACTGTGACAGTCAAAATTCCCAAACGATAAAATACTTGAGTGAAAATTATTTATTAACTTACTCTGGTAAACGTTGGCATTTGGATCTGATGGCAATGTTGGTTTTCTCCAAAATGTTTGTTGACTGTACTTGGGTAGAACACTGAAGAAAATTACGAGTGATAGGAACACAACTGATTTCATGGTTTAATACGTTGTTTGTTCGTGACCTGGCTTCTTTGATTTGTAAAGTTCTTAAATAAAAATCGTGAACTAGACTGAGTGTTTTTATGTATTCTGCTGCATGCTTAATTAGATACGGGCAGGAAGTTCTGTGTATTACACTTCTGCATTATGGTCTGCAAGTATGGTAATGTCACAGAGGTTATCCGGTTTTTCTGAGTTGTGTCAAGATTTGTCTCAGCTCGACTTCCAGGAAGTTAAACCTCAGTTGTCACCCATAACAACTATACCTGTATATTTTCGAAGTCAGGGTCAATAACGCTTGATCTTGCTGCTTCGCAAAAATATTATTATTACAAGGACCGCCTAGTTAGCTCAAGATCTCGAGGCTCTAAGCTTTCATTTTTCAGGGATTACAATAAATATAGCTATTATAATTAGAAAAAATTATTATAGCATATATAGCCTATATAGCTTTTCTGATTTCGAAGTTAAATGTCCCCAACCCTATAGGCTATTCTCTATTTTGTTTTTTTTAGTTTCAAAATCTCGAAGACATGTTTAAAACTGGTTGTGCTTATCACTCATGTCCTAGTGTAATTAAGTGTCCTAAACCCATGCATTCCTTAGGTGCGATACATGATGGATCGACGCAATTTGACCCTTGAATTAGAGAGGGAATCTACTGAGCATTCTCGTATATATACGCATGTATTCTAATTTGCAAGAAATGAACATAGGATAGAACACAGTACGCCCTTGCTGTAGTATAATATTGCAGTGTATGCTGTTCACTGCTTTACATGATTGCCATGATGCTTTGTGGTGATAAACGTTTGCTAATATTCTTGTCTATATATCTTTTAAACTAACCCATGCAACATTGCATGCATGTTACATTATGTAAAGGATCCGAGTTATTTTAACTGCACCTAATTAACAGTTAAAACTCTTTTTACAGCAGTGGCGGCGAACAGCTTTTATTTTGGAGGGGCTAGCTCCCATAAATTTTTTTTCTGCACTAATTGTTGGCAACGAAGGGGGGGGGGGAGGCAAAACATTTTCCGGACCTAATATATTTCCAACTGTCTTTCCCGAATTTGCCCTCTAAATTTGCAAATGGGCAGAATTCACCATGATCTGTTTATCTCTCATGTACTGAATGTCAGGTCCTTGGGTCTCTTATACCATTGCTATTAGGATTCCGACCGATCGATAAAATTTATTATTATATAGTATAGAGAGTGAGATACTGAAAAATACACAGTGAAATATTTTCCATTCTTCAATAGTGAAGATATCGATCACGTGACTTTTTCCAATTTGCTTTTGAGCGTGAAATTTCACAATTTCCTTGCTTGGGACTATCAATAAACAGACGAAGTCATATCTCTGCGCCGCCGTGTAATGCATGAGTCTATCCCAGGAGTAAAATTCCCCCCCCCCCCCCCTCGGGAACACACCCGGGAATTTGATTTGATTGGTTACGATAGTGCAAATGCCCGGGTGCAGGGACACAAGTGCTCGGGAGTCGGGTTTTATTTGAGCGCATAAAATCCGAACACTTTTGAAACCATAAAAGTCTGAGAACTCGTAATACCCGCGAGCACTTTTGCTTTACAGCATATTTTTTGTACAAGCCTAAATAGCCTCCGTTATATAACCTCAGTCGAGCGAGATTATTTGAGAAGGATACCCAACACCTCTAAACCCAACACAATACAATAGCCAAGGCGATCGCGCTTATTTTATCATTTATTTGCTTGAGCAGCACTGAGCCACATAGCTGCTCAAGACTGAATTTCTTTAGATCATCCTCCCCAGTTTTTTTAACACAGTCGAGTTTCTTTCTAAAACACAAATCGCTAACTTCCTGGGAAACGACGTCAAGCACTTTCTGTGTAACCACCTTGCGGACGGGTTGCATTTCATATTACTGCCCGGCTGCCGTATATAGAGGTCCATACAGTAACGCTTTCCCCAATGTATTGTAGGTATCACACACAGTTTTACTCGTGCACAGTTCCAAGGAGTAGGAACGAAATATGTGACGATAAAAGCTGGGTCCATGGATTGTGTCTTTAATAATAATAGTGTAACTTTCAGCCTCAACTAGACAACAGCCGTTTCATAACAGACGTTTTTGCAAATAAATAAATCGTTACTGTCAGAATATTGTTCACATCAACATTTTATACTGATACCTTGATCAGATCAGCTATACCAACGGCAAGGGCACTTCTCCCGTCATACAGAATATAAACAAGTTGATTATTTCAAACAGGCGTGTAATATATTTTAACAGCAGTAAACACTGAGATATATTTAGCACTGAACAATTAATTAGTCACTACTGAATTTGGCGGGAAGCCTACGTCATGCCGTTTCCTGATTGGTCAAGTTGAAACAATCGGAATGGAATGTGTTGCTGCAGTAAGCAGCCTGTTAGTGGGGAGAAAACCTCGGACCCGCGAACAGGCTGCGTAGGAGACTAGAGTCGAGAGTAAAGGTCGAGAGTCGAGAGTAAAAGTCGAGAGTCGAGAGTAAAAGTCGAGAGTCGAGAGTAAAAGTCGAGAGTCGAGAGTAAAAAGTCAAGAGTCGAGAGTAAAAAAGTCGAGAGTAAAAAGTCGAGAGTCGGCAAATGTCATCAGAAACAACAAAGTCAAAATACTTTTAACACAATATATAACCGATCCGTAACAACGGCTGATTATAGCCGTACGGCCGAGGAGGGGGGGGGGGGAGACAGCCCCGCCCCCCAGTCAAAATAAATTAAGTCATGCAAATTATAAACGTATAAATTCGGGCAAAAATTGGGGGAAATAAATTTAAAAAGAAGACAGTACATGCAATATGGTATTTGAAAATACCAGAAATATGTAAAAGTAACGAGGAATCGACAAATAGGAAAATATTTTTGTCTACTTCCCAACGAAAATTTTGGAAATTTAGTTACACGGAAAATTTTATTCAGTGGGTAAAAGTCGATCGGGTAAATTTCTTCCCGCCCGTACGCCTATGACGGCTGAACTCATTTTATTTCCTGTGTATCGGAACATAAAGCAAACAATATTTGCGAAACATAATTTAGTATGCTCAAATTCTCGAAATTAAAGTAAACAAGAGGCATATACAATCAAAGGAATAATCCAGTATAATATAAAACAAAAACTTTCGCAAAAATTTAGCCACAACATTCAATAATAATAACTATTATCTAATAACTAGTTTTATCGCTTCCTTATAAATTACTGTCCATCCTTCCCACTTTTGCATGCACCTATTTCCGCGAAAAATTACTCATATGTGAAGCTACATATAAATACTAGGACTTTACAATCACGTGCGAGACATATTACCACCCGATAGAGTCACACATACGACAAAAGAATCCTATTTTTACTGGCTCGTATTTATGAATTCACAATTGTATGAATCGTTAGATTGTGATCAACGTGGATTTCTTAATACGCTCTCGTTTGATATAAACGTACGTTAATAAATGAATAAGTGACATTTTAGTTACAAGCCTGGAGATGGCTGTCAAAATTCAGTGAAGTTTATGTGCATGTCAGTTAGAATGAAATGACCTGTGAAAACATTTAGAGATTGAGGCATCAAATGCGATATTATTATTTTCTTATCCAAACTTTTTTGTTTTTGTTATCACGTTATTATTATTGACAGTGGCGGAAATCTCCCCCCCCCCACCTTCCGGAAAATTGACGAATTTTCGGAAATTTTGATCTAAAAGAGGGCTAAAAACAGTCTTTTCGAGTGCAAATGGGGGGGGGGGGGTTCGTCGGAAATTTCAAAGTTTTGTCGGAAATTTAGGAGGCTTTGCCCCCCCCCCCACCGGAAAAAGTGAATTTCCGCCACTAATTATTGACTGTTGTAGCAAATACTAGCAATGGAAAGTTTGTATTTCAGCCGTTGGTACTTGTTACGGAATGGCTATGTAAAGCTATATATATATAGATTGTGTTAAACGTGGTTAAAAAATAAAAATATTTTGACTTTGTTGTTTCTGATGACATTTGCCGACTCTCGACTTTTTACTCTCGATCGACTCTCGACTTTTTACTCTCGACTCTCGACTTTTTTACTCTCGCCTCTCGACTTTTTACTCTCGACTCTCGACTTTTACTCTCGACTCTCGACTTTTACTCTCGACTCTCGACTTTTACTCTCGACTCTCGACTTTTACTCTCGACTCTCGACCTCGACTCTAGACTCTCGACCTTTACTCTCGACTCTCGACTTTTACTCTCGACTCTCGACCTTTACTCTCGACTCTCGACCCTCGACTTTTAGATACACTCGTGCAAGAGTGAAATCATTTGTCAAATCCCCAGGGTCTCAGCCACTATCAATACCCGGCCCACGTATATGACAGGCAAATTCCCGACCCCCGTGAACTGTCTATCCCGGGGGTGTTCCGGAGGGGGTGGTTACTCCAGGAATTGACTCATGCATAATATCCTCTATATATTTAATAGTCTAAGGACCTTAATATTGTCTCTGAGTATTTGGTTGCCTAACTTGATAAGCCCCTATGGTTTTTCTATAGGATTTTACCAACCTATAGTCAATACCAACCTAGTCAATCTGCAAAAAGATATTGTAAATAACCTACTACGGATAACTGAAAATTGTTGTTGTGGTATATATCATTTTTGTAGTCTTAACAACGTACTAATCATACATGATATAATTTTTGGATTACCCATTTTTCATAAGCATATATAGAGATATGTACTAAGTTATGTCCACGCGGTATATGTGAGTTAATATGTGCATGAGTTATATATAGAGTGTATTATTATTGCTTAACAATATTCTATGCCGCATTTGCATGGCCTAGAAAATATTCCTGTTCTGGAAATTTTCAACTTGTTGGCATTGTCCATGCTTCAAGATTAAACGGTACTTGTCATTAATTAAAAATATTCAAATATTCACTTTTATAGTTTTATATTAAAATTTGCCGCCTAAATTAGACTTTTCTTTACTTTTAACAGTAGCTTTTGGCCTCACTTGAACCGACAACATTCATATATAATGCTATACCGAAGGACAACTTTGTACGTTTATTCACTTTTCATATATTCGGTTCCACTTAATCCTTAAAAACCTTTGAAATCCTTCAAAACAATCAGTTGACATGAGAATGTCAAATATACCTTTCCTGGCGCAGTAAGTGCCAATAGGCAGAGTTTCATTTCATTTAGCTATCTAGCAAGAAGAGAGTATATAGAGTAGTACTATTGTCAGTGAGAAAATGCGACATAAAATGAACACTGATTATCCCATAGACAATGAGCTAATCATTTATCTGACTGTTTCTGGTTGATATGGCGTTAGCTATATGTTATAGGCCTATATGTAATTCTTCAAAATCTTGTGCGTACTCGTTTGTGAAAAAAGGTCAGTAATTTTCATTCAGTTTTTCTTGTTGACTTTGGTAGAACACTGAAGAAAGTCACGAGCGATAAGAACACAACCGATTTCATGGTTCAATATCTCATTTCTTCGTAACCTGGCTTCTTTGACTTGTAAAGGCAGCAGTGAAGGGTTAAAATATATTGACTAGGTTGACTCGGTTTTATGTCTCATTCTTTTAACATTATAGACACGTGTGGTCTACGACTTAATTGTATAATGTTGATTTATCTGATTTGTGTCAAAATGTGTATTTTTTGACCTGCATGGAAACTATAGCCATCCTGTTCTTAGTTTCAACCGATGAAAACGTAATATTTCAACTCGGAATTCAAAGTATATGCTTATAGCTCAAACTGTACAATAATATCCGCATCAGTGCCAAACTACTAATTAAATAAACTTGACAATGTTCTACAACAGTAGATTTGCTTTTTAAATAAATTCACATCTTGTGTGTAAGAGTATGCCCGCGTTTTCAGGTTAGCCATGCCTAACCTGCGAACGGACATGCTCTAGGAACGAGTAATATTAAGAATCTTTGCATCATCATTCAATTTTATTTTTATTCCATTCTTTTCTTTTAACTGGATCTTCATCTGTCTTGCGCCATCTACTGTTAAAACTCTATATATAGTGCTTTTCAGACCCCATTCTCTGTCTGACTCGGCCTATATCATACAACATATATATATACCGATATAGGAACCCGGAAAACATGTACTGATGCAATGGCAATTATATTGGAGCCCAGTTGACGGTTCTTCATCCTCCATTTATAGGGATCGGCTATACTTTAGACAGGATGATAGTTGACGGATAAATTTTCTGGGCGGTAAGTCGTGGTTGGCCTTAACGGTCGGGAGCCCTTAGTTTTTGAACTAACCCTACCCAATGAGTGTTAACGCCACTGAGTATCAGTAGCGTAGCCAGCCCGACTATTTGGTTCCGCTATGCAAATATTTTCATGTTCATTGACTGTGAAAACAATCAATTTCTAAAGAAATGAATAATGATAATAATTTTGAATTTGCATAGCGGGACTAAATTGTCGGGCTGCATGGCAACGCCACTGCTGAGTATAGCTCATCACAAATCTAGCCAGCCATTGTCAATCAATTCTAGAATTATATTTCATATGGAGATAACATGCAAACAATATGTTAAATTAAGTACCATCAAAATGATTGATTCTTCTTTAGTCTTTAATAGACATCTATATCGTCCGCTTCAACTGACTTATGGAACAAGACATTGACTGGATTTATGTTATGCACTCATGCATGCGTCATCAAGCATGCATACTTATAAGTAATAGCATGGCTTGAGGGAGATTAGTGATTAAATGGCCCCGTAACCCGAGGCAGGTTTGCGGAATTCCCGAGGGCGAAGCCCGAGGGAATTCCGCAAACCTGCCGAGGGTAAGGGGTCATTTAATCACTAATCTCCCGAAAAGCCATGCTATTAGTTTGTAATAGCATAGTTTCGCTCCCATTTAAAAATGGACAAACATGGCCTACTTGGAATCAGCGTATTTAAGCTAAAACATTTGCTTCATTGCTTGTGGGATGTAAAAGCTTGTTGCACATGCGCACTTTTTACGCTTTAATCGGTTACGCATGCGCAATCTATCATTTAACGTACCACAACAAAAACGCTAAATATATTAGTATAAATTTGAAGACTGCACGTGCGTAATTTAAATGATGCGGCAACTCAGGGATCGGATGATAGACTATTGACGGCTCTGAGCTAACTGTTGCTGTTCCTTGCACGATTATGTGCGTGAGGCGCTTGCCTAATGCGTAGTCGTCAGGGAGACAAAGGTGTGACCCTTGGTAACGGGCGATTAGTTCTAATCGCCCGCTCTAGCGGGCGATTAGAACTAATCGCCCGCTACAGCGGGCGATACGTGATTAAACGTCCCTGTTGAAACAAAAGAAACCCGGGCAACTATGCTATTATTGAAATTAGCCCGGCTTCTTTTAAAGTTAGCCCGTTTCGTAAAAAAGTATAGGCAAATGCTAAACTGACATACTTTTATTAAAAGGCAAGCAAAAATATAAGCAATAGTTGGGCTTGAACTTACAAAACCATGCATACTTATTTCAAACGTTCTATAATTCGTGCTTTAGAGGTTATTAGATGATACTTCAAGTAAAAATTGCAATCGTTAAACTTGAGAAATTACATCATGCTCTCCTGAAGATTCTATTGAAATTAGCCCGGCTTCCATTGAAATTAGCCCGTTCTCTATTGAAATTAGCCCGGCTTCCATTGGAATTAGCCCGGCGTCTATTGAAATTAGCCCGGCTTCTTTTAAAGTTAGCCCGTTTCGTAAAAAAGTATATAGGCAAATGGTAAGGTAACCAACTTTTTAAAAACCAAGCTCAAATATACGCAGTAATTGGGATTGAGTTAACACAATATTGAAGAAAAGTACAAATATACGCAAAAATAGGACAATAGGGTTCAATTCAACTAACAGAGAATTGTAATATTAAATTTCGCATATTACAAAATCATATGCAGTTATCGCAATACAAATGTTGTTCTGCATACCAAACCAACCTAAACGTACTGAGTTTCCAAACGAATTTGAAGTTTGACCCACATACATTGAGATACATATATTTACAGTTTCATCAGCACACATATCAGTGCTTGCACTTGCGCTTTCGCTTCACGACGATAGCAGACCTGACAGCATCTGTTGTAGCTAACTTTTCGTTCTCTCGCGTACGTGCTGCCTCATTTTCCTCTTGCTCATTGACTCTCTGTTTCGCTTGAATGATAGGGCACCCATCATACATAACTCGGCATTTCAAATATCTTCGGGTTGCGAATATAAAATTGTCAACATCTGGATGAACTTTGACGAATTTTATCACATCGAACACTTTGCGCACGCGACCGGTTAACAGCATCCACGCGTCGATGTAGGGGTCGGGTTTGCTGAAGAAATCTTTTTCTTTGCGTTTGGCAGCATCACGTCTTGCACAGAACGCCAATGTTGGCCGCTGAGGTAGTTGTTCTGCAGGGAATCTAATAAGAACGTTAAAATTAAAGATGTTGTTAAATGTTATTTTGGCAGGGCAGACATAGTATTCTGACTATAGGGGGATCGTGGCCAGAAAAACTACGATTGGCCGAATTGTGTGAATGTTGCAGTGAGAAAAATAGTGAGGCTATTTGAAGACATCTGTAGAAAATGGGGCTGGGTACAATAGAGCATGTGACACTTTTTTTGTATAAAAAGATAAGCAAACGCGTGTTTTTAAAGAACGTTTAGTTATTTAAAATCCTTGCTAAAAGTCAATGAAATTTACATAAAAAAATTGAAGTAACGTGAACACGTATGCAAGATGCTTGCTTACCGCCATCTAATGTGCTCGTATACTTTGGACATGTACTTGTCGTCATTCATAACCCAACCCGTCTGTGTCGAAATTATTTGGAAAACATCTTCAGGTGATGAATTCTGTTCTTCCTCCTCCTCTACTTCTCCTTTTGTAGCTAAACTTTCGTTCTCTCGCACACGTTCTGCCTCCTTTTCCTCTTGCTCATTGACTCTCTGTTTCGCTTGAATGATAGGGCACTCATCACGCATAATTGGGCATTTCAAACATCTTCGGGTTGCGAATATAAAATGGTCAACATCTGGATGAACTTTGACGAATTTTATCACATCGAACACTTTGCGCACGCGACCGGTTAACAGCATCCATGCGTCGATGTAGGGATCGGGTTTGCTGAAGAAATCTTTTTCTCTGCGTTTAGCAGCGTCATGTCTTGCACAGAACGCCAATGTGGGCTGCTGAGGTAGTTGTTCTGCAGGAAATCTAATAAAAACATTAACATTTAAGATGTTGTTCACTGTTATTTTGGCAGGGCAAACAAAGCAGTCTGACTATAGCGAGATCGTGGGCAGAAAAACTAAGATTGACCTAAATGCGTGAATGTTGCAGTGAGAAAAATAGTGAGGCTATTTGAAGACATCTGTAGAAAATGGGGCTGGGTACAATAGAACATGTGGCCTTTTTTGTTTAAAAAAAGAGAAGCAAGCGCGTGCTTTTAAAGAAAGTTTAGTTATTTAAAATCCTTGCTAAAAGTCAAATAAAATTTACATAAAAAATTTGAAGTAACGTGAACACGTATGCAAGATTCTTGCTTACCGCCATCTAATGTGCTCGTATACTTTGTACATGTACTTGTCGTCATTCATAACCCAACCCGTCTGTGTCGAAATAATTTGGAAAACATCTTCAGGTGATGAATCTTGTTCTTCCTCCTCCTCTTCTTCTGCTTGTGTCTTTTGATATTTCTGGGACGGCTCTGCCTCGTCATGTGTTGGAGGCTTACATGATTTCAAATGACAGCGATTATTCTCCTCGTCCGACAATTCTGATGAAGATGATGGCAACCGGAAGCTTCGGCGGAGGTCTCTCAGCACTGCAATTTGTTCATGCTCTTCATCTCGTACAAAAGAACGATGGACTGCGCAGGAGTCTGCTGGGCTCGACCTCGACACGTTTGGTTCTACTTCCATTTCTCTCAGATCTTGATAACCGATGTTTTTTACAATCGTTGAGTCGAAAAGGGATCTAATAATGAAGGGAAATGTTTTTATAATTAATCAGATTACTCTATCATCTAGTTAACCGTGACGCATATGGGAAGCACCATAGTTTGTTTTTGAGCGGAGCAATGCAGCTAATAATGTTAAGTGCTTACCGTGCTATGTTGTTATCATCTATGACCGCTGCTTCGCCGTCGCTGTTCTCGTACCAGCGTTCCTGGCGTGGTACATGATCGATGTTGGCCGTTATCTGGTTTGCGGTCCAAACCAAGCAGTCCATTGCGTGTTCATAGATCCATTTGTCGATTCCTGCGGTTGTCCTCGGCAACGATTGAGTTTCGTAAACAGAAATTCGTCGTTCGACGTTTTCCATTTCTTTCCCGAAGTCGGGAACAGTGTTCGTCGTTATATAGAACGGACTATTGTTCCAGACGCACTTAGGCTGTTCATGTTTGACGGCCGAGACCAACCATCCACCCTGCAGAAGCGTTTTAGCTAGGTCGGATTGCATCGTGTACGAAGACCAGTCGTCGATTACAACAAGTTCCGTCGAGTCATTTATCATCGACGCCGAGAATTGCTTCTCGCTCGTTATGGAGGCAACTCGTTCGGAGGGAACGATTCTGTGCAGAACGCACGCCCATGACGTTTTCCCCGAGTCTTTCGGTCCTGACACAACTAATTTTCGAATTTTTTGAGGCATGCGACGACCAACAAAACATTGATAGAATTTATTGAGAAACGCGGTCCCGTACGTCCAGATCTGGAAACGAATTGACTATGCCGTTCTTAAAATACAGCGGCTGTGGTGGCGTTGTGCTGTCGTATGGAATATACGTACGAGGCGAAATTTTCCCCAAAGGCATCCGTGGTGGGCATTCCGTAAACGAGCGCGTCGAGATTTGAAAAAACTGTCCGCCACTAACTTCGATGTAATCGGGATCGAATTCGATTTGGCTGATGATTTCGCAACCGGGATGCGATAGCAGTTGTACGATGCGAGACATGTGCTTGATGATCTTCTCTCGTAACGCATCGTTTGTAAGTAATTTATTGACGTACGTTTTAACGTCCATCATTTTGACGTACGTCAAGGTTGCTTCCATTGGTTTGCCGTACACGAATCCACGATGGAGTGCATGATGGCACCGCATCATCACGAGTTCAATCTCGCGTATTGTGGCCGTTATGTCGCTCGGTGCCGTTATCACTTTGTTGCTTTGTGTTGGCCTCGAGATGATTTCTAACTCGCACTCCAACCCGTCTGAAGTTAGTGCAGCGTGAGCCTCACTGAGTGGTCCACCATAGGAATCTTGTTGAACGACAACAAGCCGACAAGGTATTTGGGCGTTCGTATTTCGTCGATTGATGTTTTCGTCCTCGTCCTCTATTTCTCTTGCACGACATACCGAACGACAAAAGTGGTTGGATGCAATCACCATGTTTTTCGTTGCGGCGTTGTTATGGTCTTTAACAACCTGAGCGATCTTGCACACTGCTGTTTCAACCTGTGTCAAACCTATGGTATTGCGTGTCTTGATTTCGGTTATTGTTGGTTCCATATCGGCATCGTGAAGTGCGGCGAATATTGTCTCCTTCGTGCACTTTGATGTCTCGCGGAAAACAACGAAGTATGCCACACCTGGAAAAATTGTTGGACCACGACTGGCAGGCTCATCGTCCTCGTCGTCCTCGTCCGACTTTGGTCGACTGGCGTTTGTTTGAACCATCGTTATGCACGATATGAAAAATTGGACCCCATCCATGGCAATAATTTGGTCGTCGAGTTGTAATCTCTTTGAACAAATCTGATTTTTTGCCAACTCCCTGTCTTCGTCTGACACTCTCCAGATGGCGCGACAAGCAAGACCATGTGTATCATGATTGAGCTGTTAAGGAAATGTGAGATAATTAGTTGAGACCATGTGGAATGGTCTGCAGAATAATCAATTGTTAATTTACTACAGAGAACACTTCTAGCTGCAGATAAACGCTTAGTAAGTGTTTGAACTACGTTATAATGGAATAGAAGACATCACAGTGTCGATAAACGTAGCGTGATTGTCAACTCTCGTTACTGATTGAACATACCCATAATAATCAACATTCTTCAAACAATATTTGCTTGAACTTACCCATTTCAACAGGTTTTCACGTAGCGAGTTTCGCAAACGCTTGCTGTCCAGTTGTTTCTTCGGTCGTGTGGAAAACATTGTAGATTACGTTAGTTTTTTCTTTGTAAATTCGTTGGGAACCAGAGCAGGAAAGCCACAAGCAACTGCAATGCGATGTCTTTTATACGATTTATTATTCAATATACACATATAATTAGTACTCATGCGTAAAAAGCGAACAAAAAATATTGTACTTTGGTTATTATTATTATTATTATTTTTATTATTATTATTATTATTATTATTATTATTATTATTATTATTATCATTATCAATCAACTAATAACAAAAATCACCATTGGAGAATCATTTCAATATTTAGGACGTTACTTTGATTTCCACATGTCGAATGATAATCACAAAACTGAACTAACCACCCTACTTAATGAACTAATGTCTGATATTGACTCAAAGCCACTACACCCCAAAAATAAACTGCTCCTCTACAGTCGCTACGTCTTGTCCAAGTTAGCGTGGCACTTCACCGTCGCAACACTCTCTAAAACATGGGTTACTGAAAATATCGACTCTATTACCAACAAATATATCCGCAGATGGCTTGAAGTACCAATATCAGGAACACTAAGTACTGTCTTTCTAACAAATAACAAATTTGGCCTGAGTATTTATCCTCCATCTGTAAAATTTATCCAGTGTCAAACAGTCCTCCGAAAAGCTTTAAAATCTTCTCCTAATGAATCAACTAACAACCTGTGGAGAGCAACCAGTAACCATACTAATATCCAATATGACGCTTATAACTCTACTAAGGAAGTTCTCAAAGATTTCCGTTCTGGACACGAAAACAAACTCCTAAACCAATTAACCAGTCAAGGATCCTTTTTCTGCAGCGTCACGAAGTTCGCTTTACCTCAGCTTAGCAAGGTGTGGTCCGTCGCCCAATGAAAGCTCCCGAAAAACATTTACAATTACTTTACCATTCGTTACATTAACAACTCTCTTCCGACGCGCAAAAACCTAAACAGATGGGAATATCTTCAAATTCAGACTGTTCTTTTTGTCTTAGCCCTGAAACATTACTACACATAGTAGCTGGATGTCAGTTTTATCTCGACCGATTTACGTGGAAACACAATTCAGTCCTAAACTTTCTTGCTCATCAGTTACAAACTGTTGACGGTTCTACTCTCTACGCTGATCTAAATGGATTCAAAAGCCCTTCAATACTTACTGGTGATACGTATCGCCCAGATTTGTTATTATCGTGCTCAAATGGTTCCTTATATGTGGTTGAACTCACCACTGGTTATGAGACAAACCTCGAAAACAACGTAAAACGGAAGAAGGATAAATATAGAGAAAGAATTATTGAGACAGCTAGGTAAAAATTTTAACCAAGTTAAATTTATAAATCCCTCCATCAGCTCTTTAGGTATTTTTGCAGAAGAATGTTATACATTTTTAGACATGTTAGATAGTATTGGTCTTGACAAAAACCACCAAATGTACTGCGTTAGGAAAATGATGACTATTGCTATTAGAACTACATATTACATTTTCTGTTGCCGAAATAAGGAATGGGAAAATCCGGATTTACTAACAATTTGACTTATCTCATTGTATATATATATATATTGCATGCACTTTGTTCTGTTATTTTAGTTTAGTATAATTGTGATTCAAATAGCCAACCGTAAGTTACCTTTATGAGAGAGATTTACGATTGTATATGTATGTAAAGAAAAACATTTAATAAAGTTTCCATTAAATATATTTACTGATTTTGTAACCGAAGGTTAAATTACATCAGCTATACTACAAATAATTAAATATAAAGGAGTAAACTACTATTTACAATTTAATTTCGAAATAATTTGTGGCAAGAAGGATTTTCTAAAACGTTCTGTTTTACAATAATAATTATTATATTTACAATGTCCCCTCGTATCATAGACCGAAGAGGATTTATTAGGTAAAAATTCATCCAATTTTTGACGGTTCTGATCTCTCAAAAAGAACTGTTCGCATAAAATCTCACGTCGTTCCTTCAAGAATGGAATATTAATAAGTTCGCGTGCATCGTTACAGCTAAGTTCTGGTAAAATAATTCTCAAAGCTCTTCTTTGAACCCTTTCAATATCATCACTCAAGTAACCTGGAATGTTGAAGTGCCAAACTTGGCAAGCGTATTCTAAGACTGGCCTTATAATAGTGGTAAATGCGATGGATAACATTCTAGTGTCAGCGTTGGCTCGTTTCAATAACCTAAGCACATACAATCTTTTCCCAGATTTCTTAACAATTTTATTAACGTGTTCATTCCAATTCATTTTGGTTTGGATCGTAACGCCGAGAATTTGGGCAGAATTTACACGTTCAACCTCAGTGTTCTCGATTAATAATGCTGGGAAACTCCGTTTTACCCTACCAAAGTCAAGGATCATTTCTTTACATTTAGTGACATTAAGTTTCATATTATTTGTAACAGTCCAATTATAAATATAATCGACGAGATCCTGAAGATTACTGCTACAACCAACCATGACACTTTCAGTAGCCGTACTATCATCTACATACTTCCATCGGTCGGGCCATTCATCGAGAAAATCGTTGATCATAACCAAAAAAAGAACAGGACCCAAAACAGTTCCGTGCGGTACTCCTCCATTTAAAACTTTCCAACTCGAAGACCAACTACCCAGCTTCACACATTGCCTCCATCCAATTAAAAAACTTTTAATCCAATTAAAAATAGTTGAGGGAACGTTCAATTCCAATAATTTGTGCAACAAAATGTTGTGGTCTATCAGGTCGAAAGCCTTAGAAAAGTCAAGAAGAAACACTCTAACGGCGCCCTTTGACGCATCAGTTTCCTTTACTAAGTGATGTACCAAACTAATTAAATTATGAGTCGTTGAGGAATTCTTCAAAGAGCCAAATTGCCTCTTATCAATTTTGTTCTTGATTGAACTAATCAACCAATCAGATACAAACGATTCGCAGATTTTAAACAAAGTAGGTGTCAATGAAATAGGACACAAATCGGTTGTTATGTCTGCGGGTACCGATATTTTTGGTATTGGAATAACTTCAGCGTCTTTCCATACTGCAGGAACGTGCTGTTGCTGTATCGAAGCATTAAAAAGTGAGGCAATTGGTAAGGCTAAGATATAAGCATAATGTTTAAGTACCCAATTTGGGATACCGTCTGAACCTGACGATTTCGAGACACATATATCTGACAATTTATTATACACACTTTCTTCGTCAATAATAAATACTTTCATTAAACTCGAACTGACTTTCTGTAGATTCTGGCTGTAAAGGTGTAATTTCATTAGTAATTGATATGAAGAAGTCGTTAATTTTATTTGCTAAAACATTTCCTACAACAATCTCATTGTCAAGGACCATAGACGATATTGCCTTTCTCTTCGGATACCCTGCGAATTGTTTTATACAATCTCACCACTTTTGCGGGTTAGGATTACGCAAATAATTGTACTTTTGGATATTCCTGTCATGATATGCTTTTTGCCTATCTTTAATGATTTCTTTGAATTCGGGCGTTACCCAGGGTTTATCATTAGCATGTAGTTTGATAATTTTAATCGGAAAGAAACAATCTAAACCAGTTGTTTGTGTGATGTTACTCTGAGTATATATCCACACCAGGCAGGCTTGAAAAATATGCCTGGCCACGGCGGGATTCGAACCTACGACCTTTGGAATACTAGCCCAATGCTCTTCCAACTGAGCTACGCGGTCAGGACGGTTCGAGTATGCGATATTTCGGAACTGAGTCTAGTT